TTCGAACGTTCTCACATATATTTGTAATACGCTTAGAATTGCTTTTTCGACTAATTTCGGAGATAATATTACTACTGGCCTTATTTAAATTATAGATGGACTTGAATAAATAATTATTATCATGATTATTATCATTATGGTCATTATTTTCATGATTATTATCATTATAGTCATTATCATCATGATTATCATTATTATTATCATCATTATTGCAGTTATAAAAATTATTATGCTAATTATTATTGCTATTTTTTCATTATAACTATTATATAATGATAATAGCAATAATGATAATTTTAGAAATAATAATGAGAATCATAATAATTATAAGACAATGATAATGATGTTTTATTATTTCTATTGCCATTATTAGTATGAACATTATTGGAATAGAGTTAATTATTATTATTATTGCAGTAATTATCAAAATTATCATTATAATTATGATTTTATCATTATTGTCAATTATCATCATAATTATCATCATTATTTCAATAATAAAGGAATTATCATGGAAATCATCATAATTACCTGAATTAATGTTAAAATCCTCATAATTACCATTAAAGGCGAGAAAGTTTTTTTTTGGACGTTTCTTTCATAAGGCTGGGGATTTTATTACTTCTGGCCTTTATTTCATTTAAATGGACTGAATAATAATTATTATCATCATTAATATCATTACCGTCATTATTTTCATGATTATCATTATAGTCATTATTATCATTATTATTATTATCATTATTGCAGTTATAATAATTATTATGTTAATTATTATTGCTATTTTTATCATTTTAACTATTTACATAATGACAATAGCAATAATGGTAATTTTGAAAATAATGACAATAATAACAATTATAATGACAATGATAATGATGTATTATTATTTCTATCGCAATTATTAAAATGAAATTATTGGAATAGACTCAATTATTGCTATTATGCAGTTATCAAAATTATCATTATAATCATGATTTTATCATTATTATTCTCATTATCATCATTATTGTCAATAATAAAGGAATTATCTGAAAATCATCATAATTACCTGAATCAATGTTAAAATCCTCATAATTACCATTAAAAAGCGAAAAGTCGCATGTGCCGACTAATGCCGACTCGATGACCCACCATGATGCCCATCCAGAGTGGTAACCTCCAGGCGACAATTGCAATTCCTCGCGCCTGGACGGGGCGCGAACCACCATACGTGATATTTATTGAAACAACTGAAGCCACAATGACGTAGCCGAAATGAACACCGGGAGTATACAGAGGTAACGTGTCGGTCTCTCATCCGAGGGGTCGGTGGTTCGCGCCCCGTCCAGGCGCGAGGAATTGCAATTGTCGCCTGGAGGTTACCACTCTGGATGGGCATCACGGTGGGTAAGGACTAAACTCTGTCGCGTCATCGAGTCGGCATTAGTCGGCACAGGCCGGGCTCCCCTCATAACCCGGGCGAGGTTCAACTTCGCATATCGGACTTAGCCTTATCCTTAAACCTGAAAGGGAGTTGTCTCTGGAGTCGGTGTTGTGTGTTCCCCGTGGATTACCCTTACTGTGGCGTTGCTGGAACATCAAGATAAGGTAGTGTCTGACCCTGTTTCATGTCGGTTAGGGAATGCTAGACTTGTCCATGTGATATTAATTTTGTTTACAACCAAGAAGGTCCATAGTGTATTGGCCAGCACTAACCAGAGATGACCCCTTTTTAAGAACCCAAGTCCCTCTTTCAGTGGTAACCCGTCCCTCCCGAATGAGGATCTTATTATCTATTCATTTTCTTCAGTTTTTTTTTTTATTATTGCCTAATTTTTTTATCATTTCGATACAACAAGAAGCCAAGAACGCACATAATTAGACCCTATTTCACTACGGGACTTGTACCTGGGTTATGGGACTTCCTCGCGAGGAAGTGAACAAGTCCTCTCCCTTCTTTCTCTCGGCCTAAGCCGCCATGCACCAATGGACTGGATGATTTTCGGGCTTCCCCTCGATAGTAAACCTTGCACTAGTTGTTATAGGAGAAGAGCTAACACCAATAAATATATGCCATGGCAGAGACCAGATCGCAGTACACATTCAATAGGTTAATCTGGCTGAGACGGAAAGAAGACCATTAACATTACTGCAGATGACACATGTTTGTTTTATTAGCTCATTTTTATGTGGAAAGACAGCTTAGATGTAACTTGGTTATAAGTACTAGTATTACTTGAACAAGTATTGATATCAAAGCAAATGTGGAGACACATTATGGCGTTGTTGGAGATCTATTTCCTGATCATGCTGTTTCGGTATGTGATATGGTAAATGTACTTCGATTCGTAAAAAAAGACAAATGAATTAATAAAGACCCTTAGCAAGTCGGGCAACGTTGAAGAACAAAGTGCAGTTTATGAAGTCTCCGAATTAACTGCTGCTTGTTAAGGCATCACTTCGATATGTGGTTCAGTATTGTAAAATGTAGAAGCTAAACTCCGCACTAGCTCTGAGATATCGTCCACTGATGACAAAAGTAATTGAAAAGCACGTCACAAAAAGCAAGTTATAAGCATCTTTCTGGAATGTGCTCTTAATCCACCAGATTTACACCTAAATGATTATGGATACACATACGCTGCAATCAGTCATTACACCAGCTGATATGTCTTTTACTCCAGCAGATCAGGCGCTGGTAACCGTGGCTCAGGACAATTATCATGTTCAATTTCTGTGCGTGTTAGGGTGGTGATAGCACAAATCAGAGGACTATTCAGTAGGAGATAATGATTATCAAGAGGATTTTGAGTAGACTTTCGAGTGTTGGATATTAGGGACTGTGTATATAATTGAAATAAAAAATCTAATTATTGCGCTATTTTCAATATTTTGTGCTCCATGATGTTGTAATATGCTCTCTTCACTTTACATTTGGCATCTAGAAAAATACATACCTCATTATCATTTGAGGATATTTATGTATAATAGATTCATTATGGCAATGACCTACAAAAAAAGAATCTGTATAAAGGAATATGCCCAAAGTAACATAGTTATTTTTCATGAAGTGAAAATAAACACGAACATGAAAATATCAAAATACTTAACTAAAATGAAGAGAAAGATAGCACCATTTGCTAGACATCTGAAAAGCATCAATATATAGTATAATTATTTATAATAATAATACTATTAAGTATGTCCCTCGCGTAAAGGGATATCTAGTGAAATATCACCGGAAGTATATGAAATATGTTTCAGTCGATTTCTAGCCCCCGAAAACTTAGAATATGAAACCAAAACCAGGATCCTGAGACAAAAATAGGCCGAGTTTTAGCTATTAATGATAATGATTATTAGGATTATTAATATACTATTATTGTTATTATTATCAACTTTGTTATCATCAACGGCAGCGGCCATTTTGAATATCGGTCACAAAAAAAACCTTCAAGGGTGCGAACTTTGCGCTCGACTGATTCATCATCGGTAGTTTCAGATCTACTAGAAACAACAAACCCATTGTATATTTTTCAAGTCCGGGTATATCTCTCTCTGCCACCGGACTCTAATGATAATGATACAGATGATACTAACTATAATAATAAAAATTATGATGATGACATGATAATAAAAATTATGATAATAAAGATAATAATGATAATGATGATGATGACAACAACAATAATAATAACAATAATAGGGAAAGTGACAAAATAATGAATAATAAAAATAAATAATAATAATAATAATAATAATAACAGTAATAGGGAAAGTGACAAAAATTATGATAGCAGTAGCAATAGTAATAAGGATGATAATAATAAAGTTAATAATAATGATAACAAAAATATAATAATAACATTAATGATAATGACAATGATAACAATACTGATAGTAATAATGATAACATTAACGATAATAACGATAATAACAATCACTATGATAAAAATAATAATGATAATAATCAGTATGATAACAATAATAATGATAATAAAAATAGTAATAATAATGATAAGGATAACGATAGTAATGATAATGATGAAGCCATTGTTAATGATAATAATAATAATCATTATAAAACAATAAAAATTATATCAATAATAATAATAATTATGTGTGTGTGCGTGTGTTAAGTAAATCATATATGGCCAATCTCTCAATGTGACACAAAACTTGAAAGTTCTATTGAAATCTTGATAGTCAAGGAATTACAGTTACTGGAGGGGAATGAAGCAACGATATCTGCAGCATCTATATTGACTACTTCATCCATGGCTTCAAAAAGAGACAACTGCTCCTGCTTCCAACGAGTAATTAGCTTGCAATTATCTTTATTTGCCATATACCCAAAATATGGATAAATTTCATTTTATCGTGTTCACTTGAGTCATAGACTGTGAGCCATAAATCATGGCTTTACTGGAATATGAGGTCCGCTTTTACTTAACGTACAATTAGGACAATTTGGAGATGCTGAATGCAAATTTGCCTGTTGTCACGGTGAGCCAAGGCCACCAAAAGAGGGCGCTAATCCCATTTTTGCTCCTCTTTTGGCAAAACCGTATTTTAGGTTTATCTTTTTATTTTATTATTTGATAGATTCTTTTGTAACATTTCCCATGAAAATAAATGATTATTCAACAAATGGTGTGTGTGGGGTGGGATGAGGATCAAAACCTTGTAGTGATCGTCTTCACCAAATATCTAACGATCACTCCAGGAGGTAATGAAACAACAATGAAATATCTTTTCATACCTCTAACTCCCCCACGGGCAAACGAAAAATAAAACGATGACCTCAAGGTGGCAACACCCATTCCTGGTGGAACACACGAGGTGGCGTTATTTTGCCCTACTATTTCCAAGGGGTTGTTGGGTTACCTTACTGACGTCGCCCCTTTACCCAGTGGTTTATGCTCTACAAAGTGACGCTTTCTCCGAATTCGGAAATCAACAACAGCCCCCGAGAAAAAGGGCGTTTATCTGGCGAAGTGAGGAGGATGCTCGCGCACGTTCCTCTGCCAAACATTTTTTTTTTTTTAACCAAATAAATAATTTACTTGTATTTTTTGTATTGCTTTATGTGTACCCCCGAGGATGGTACTCTTTATTTTTATGTTAAGACTTTTATAAATATATTCTTTTAATGATCTGAGGTCCATTTAATTTTAAAAGTCTTAAATCTCAATTAATTAAAATATTTTGTTTCTTAATTTGGCTCATTTAAGTGTTTCATATAAAGTATCTTGAGTGATTTTGATATTGGTTGTTTTTGCACAATTATTTTGATTTAGTTTTTTTTATGGATTTTCATTTGAACTTATTTTATTACATTAATTTAGATTAAAAATTTCATACATATGGGTTTTAAGATTTGTTTTATCTATCTTGATAAAAAAAAAAAAAAAAAAACTTTTACACTATTCCCGCCCACAAACAACATGGTAAGTACACACACAAAGAAGGTGAGAAGCCCATTCCGTGGAACTCCGGAATGGGCTTTCACCTGTCTTAGATATAAGTGGTCGTGGAGATAGTTACTATAGGTTGTAAGAAATAATTGGTCAGGTATTTATTCGATAAAAGTGACCTCGTTGACCTGCATATCTTGTTATCATCTTCGGGATTTTGATTATATCGTTTGTGTTTTACTGTGTTTACCGTTTTTATGTTCAGTGTTTTAATGTATTAAGTGTATTTTGTTTCATCGTTTGTTTTAGTGTTCTGTTCTGTTTTACCGTTCTATTGATGTTTCAAGTTCCTTTTGCTTTACCGTTCATTTTATTGGATTGTATTTTACCTTATTTCATGATTTGTTTTATTGTCTTCGTTTCATTTTATTTTCGTATTTTAGTGTCATTTTACTACATCGTTTGTTTTATTGTGTTTCATAAATTCGTTTAACTATTCAAAAATAAATATTTTTAAACATGCTGCTTTTATCAAACGCCCGAATTTGACAATGATTGAAAGAGAATGCTAAAAGGGTAGTTGACAACCCAGCTACCTAGCTCTAATGGCACAATTTTTATTTCTTTTTACTTATTTATCAAGTGGTTATCTGCTCCTTCTTGTCTCCATACAACACTTTCCGCTTTCACATCCGTCTTCTATCATCACACCATATATACACACGCCAACTAAATGGATGGTGACAGTGGCTCCTCTCTAACATGTCTCTTTAAGACATAATTGTAAAGGTATTTGTTACAACCTACTTTAAAATGCTGATTATTTATTTTGTACTGTGTTTTCTTTACTGTCGGCCGCGCTGTTTCTCCAATCATGAGAGCTAATTGTTCCTGTTTCATAACGACCTACACGTACATTTCAATCTAGACGCGAGCTGGAAGAAATTACTGAAGTTTGACACTATCAGCTCCTGAAAATCTTGTTGCCATAGCAACTCTTATCCTTTCACTGTATTGTAAAACATCCGACACCAATTTTTGACAGGCGCGCAGTTGATACATTCTAAAAACTATGTACACTTTCAGCCAACCGTTAAAACTATAATTTGACCACCTTCGTTCAAATTTCTCCACTTTATTACAGGTATCAGAATTATGATAAAAGTCTTAAGTCTGCAATTCTAACGCAATCTGATACGAAATCGCTTTCTTTTTCTTGGTACAGCCTGGGCATCGGGGCTTCTTTTTAAACGCATAATTTAGTAAATACATATGTTGCCATCATTTGTCCAAACAAAAATAGAAATAAACTAAAGGTATTTGAAGAGATCATTACACAGACAGCAAAAATCTATTAATCAAATTGCCAAAGACAAGGAAAATGACAACAAAGCAAAATAAATGAAGTACACTTACAAGTACTCAAAACACATATACATAATTTTCCTACAAACTAAACATTTTGGTGTGTTGACTCAGTAGTGTCACGTCATATCTTCCAATACAGGATGTGCAATATCTTGGTCGTTTAGTCCTTAGAATGATTGGTTGATTGATGAATATAGATACAGATAAATATACATACAATTTTACCAACCACAGGCATCATATGAATAAGCCTATGTTTTTGTGGCAAAATAGCACATTAACACTAAATACTTAAAAGTGTTTTTAATCATAATATAGAGATCTATTAAAAGAAAGACACGAGAAAAGGGAGAAAGAGAGAGAAAAAAGAAATAGAACATGAGACAAAGATCACTGTTTTCTTTGAACGCAGTATACGTAAGAAAACAAGGATTCTGAGACTACATAGAAACTTGTATACTATATATATTGCAAAAGAAAAACTTGTATATATATATTAACATTAAATATCACTATTATCATCATTATTACTTTCATCAACAGAATTGCATCATTATGATAATATTACTGCTGTTATGACAAATATCACTACTACTGTTATGACACATAAAACATCACTAACATAATATTAACTAATAATAGTCGTGATAATAATATAAACAATGATGATGTTAAAAACAATACTGCTTGTAATGATAACAATACTACTAGTCATGATAACAGTTATGATAGTGGTGATAATCTCATCATATCATATGCCAAACAGCGATCAGAAATCAACAGTTCTTACGTATGATTACGTATATGAAGTTCAGAGGATGCAAGGAAGTAAAAAAAATATAGAATTATTCACTCCCGTTTTCTAATTTCCTTGCAAACACAGAATAATGGAGACTACAAAAAAAAACATAAAGAATGGTGATAAATCAATTTTGTGGACTTTTTTCTTTCTTTTCTTTTCTTTCTTTTCTTTTTCTATATTCCTAATGAAATATGTGGTTATTGTTGTTTTTATCATATTTTTATCATATTTTTTCATGAAAATGTTTAAAATAGACTTAATTATTGCTATTATTGCAGTATTTTATCAAAACTATCATTATAATTATCATTTTATCATTATTATCATTATTATTGTCATTATCATCATGATTATCATTATGGTTATAATAAAGGAATTATTATGAAAATCATCATAATTACCTGAATTAATGTTAAAATCATCATAATTATCATTTAAAAGCGAAAAAGTTTTTTTCGACGTTTTTCTCAAAAGGCTAGATTTTGCCGTTTTTGCGACTTTTGGGATTTGACTACTTTTCGCCTTTATTTCATTATAAATGGACTCTATGATTATTATTATCATTATTATCATTATTGTCATTATTCTTATGATTATTATCATTTTAGTCATTATCGTCATAATTATCATTATTATTATTATCATTATTGCAGTTATAAGAATTATTATGCTAATTATTATTGTCATTTTCATCATTATAACTATTTTTATAATGATAATAACAATAATGATAATTTTAGAAATAATAATGACAGTAATAATAATTATAATGACAATGATAATGATATTATTTCTATTGTCATTAATAGTATGAAAATGATTAGAATAGACTTAATTATTGCTATTATTGCAGTAATTATGAAAATAATTTATCATTTTATCATTATTATCATTATTATTGTCATTATCATCATGATTATCATCATTTATGGTTAATAATGAAGGAATTATCATGAAAATCATCATAATTACCTGAATTAATGTTAAAATCATCAAATTTAATACGCTAGTTTTGCCGTTTTTTCGACTTTTGGGATTTTACTACTTTTCGCCTTTATTTCATTATAAATGGACTCTAATGATTATTATCATTGTTGTCATTATTCATATTATTATCATTAGAGTCATTATCGCCATAATTATCATTATTATTATTATCTTATTGCAGTTATAATAATTATTATGCTATTATTATTGTCATTTTCATCATTATAACTATTTTTATAATGATAATAACATAATGATAATTTTAGAAAAAATAATGACAGTAAATAATAATTATAATGACAATGATAATGATATTATTATTTTCTATTGTCATTATATTGGAAAATCATTAGAATAGACTTAAGTATTGCTATTATTGCAGTAATTATCAAAACTGTCATTATAATTATCATTTTATCATAATTATCATTATTATTGTCATTATCATCATGATTATAATGATGATAATTATCATTATAAAGCCCATCTATAATGAGAAAAAGGCTAAAGTAGAAAAATACCAAAAGTCGAAAAACCGGCGAAATCTAGCGAAATACAGTCGAAAAAAAACCTTTTTCGAGTTTAAAGGATGATTATGATGATCTTAGCAATAATTCTGCTAATTATGATGATTTGGATGATAACCGAATCAATAATGACAATAATGACGATAATAATGATAATTATGAGAGTAATTAGGACAATAATTATGATAATAATTATACAATAATTATAATGATGATTTGCCTAATAATTGCAATAATAGCAATATTCAACACAATTCTAATGATTTTCCTAATAATAATAACGACAATGATAACAGAAATAATAATAGAAGTATATAACACGGCTATTATTGTTATTATAATCCTTATTATTGTTGTTATTATTTCCAGAATTATCATTATTGCCATTTTCATTATTAAATAATTATAATGATGAAAATGACAGTAAAATGACAGGAAAATGACATTGTGGAGCAACTCTGGGCAATATCAAGGTTACCGACCTTGATTTTGCTGATGAAGGAGATCCAGGAAGGTCCCTCAAGAGGCCGAGGAGGAGACCCAGGAAGTCCCCCAAGAGGCCGAGAAGGAGACCCAGGAAGTCCCCCAAGAGGCCGAGGAGGAGACCCAGGAAGTTCCCAAGAGGCGAGAGGAGACCCAGGAAGTCCCAAAAGAGGTCGAGGAGGAGACCCAGGAAGTCGCCCAAGAGGCCGAGGAGGAGACACAGGAAGACCCCAAAAGGCCGCGGAGGAGACCCAGGAAGTCGCCCAAGAGACCGAGGAGACCCAGGAAGTCGCTCTTGAGCCCGAGAAGGAGACCCAGGAAGTCGCCCTTGAGCCCGAGAAGACGTTCCTCCACTGCATTCCTCCCAGGACGAAGGTCTTCTAGGCCCACTTCCAGGTAACCATTTCCTTGGAGATCGCCCTTAAGCCGGAGAAGGAGACCCAGGAAGTCCCCCAAGAGGCCGAGAAGGAGACCCAGGAAGTCGCCCAAGAGGCCGAAGAGGAGACCCAGGAAGTCGCCCAAGAGGCGAGGAGGAGACCCAGGAAGTCGCCCAAGAGGCCGAGGAGGAGACCCAGGAAGTCGCCCAAGAGGCCGAGGAGGAGACCCAGGAAGCCCATGAGCCCGAGAAGGAGACCCAGAAAGTCGCCCAAGAGCCCCGGGTGGACGACGCCGCCGAGCCCCAGGAGGAGGTGGACGTCGCTCCGAAGGATTCTCTGCGTAGGGAATTGAATGCAATTATGCATAATATTTAAGAACTATCTAGACTCCAAGAGGGAGAAACTAGGTCAGTTTAGGAGGG